GAGACGTGGCCCCCGAGACGCGGTTCCTGCCCTGGGCGCGGCCCGGCCTGGAGCACGAGGGCAGCCTGGAGCGCCGCGCGTCAGGACCGCGTGGCGCGCGGGAGCCTGAGAGGAGGCCGCCGCGGGTGGGCGAGAGGAAGGATGGTGCCGCGCCGGCCCCCGAAGGAAGAAGTGCCCGGAGCAAGGGGAAGGGGCGCCGGGTCCGGCCCACGTCCCCGGAGCACGGTAGGGCCGTCGCTGTGCTGCCGCGGTCCCGGGCAGGGGCCCCCGCACAGACCCCTGGGGCGGGGCACTGGGGCACCCCCTGCTCTGCTGGAGACGCGAGGGGGCTCCCGCCCTGGCCGCGCTCAGCCAGCGCCTGCGCTCTCCCGGCAGAGTCCTCGGACGACTCCTACGTCTCGGCGGACGAGGACCCGCTGGAGGCGCCCGTCTTCGAGATCCCCATCCAGGACACGGCCGTGACCGTGGGGGGCGAGGTGCTGCTCAAGTGCATCGTCACTGCCAACCCCTGCCCCGAAGGTGAGGGCCCCGGGGGCAGCTGGGCCGTGGCCGAGCCAGCGTGGCTTGCGAGTTGCTGGGTGCCCGCCGGGCCCTGACACCGACTCCCCAGATGGCCACGGCAGTGTCACTTTGCTGGGGAGGGGAGGGGAGGGGAGGGTCCGGTCCCCCCCAGCGGGGAGGGCTCGTTAGCTCGGGTTCCCACGTGCTTGTTAGGTGGGAAGCACTGAGTCATCCCCTGCGCAGCGTGAGCTCGGGGGCGGCCTGGCCCAGCCCTGCATCACGCCAGCGGCAGTGGAGCAGGGGCCGTGTCACGGGCCTGCCGTGGGCTGTCTGGGGCCTCTGCTGGGGCTCCTGCCAGGACCCTGGGGCAGGCCTCACGGATTTGGAGCCGTGGCCCCTGGCCCCTCTTGCCCTCCGGCTTCAGGGTCACCCCTTGCTCGTGGAAGACCCCCGGAGGTTAACCCCTTGCCTGCCAGGCAGAAGGGCCTTGCAGCAGGTGCAAGACGTCAGTCCCCTGGCAGGGCCAGAGAGCCCAGGAGTCCTGAGCCCCCCTCCACCCTCCCCATGCTGCCCCGTGGCACCTGCCCCGAGGAGCCCAGGGCAGGCCAGGCCTTCCTGCGAGCTGTGGGGCACAGCTGGGGCTCAGGGCGCCCCGAGCTGGTCTGGGCATCTGCCCTCGCGGTGCCCTGGGGCCTGATCCTGCCCGTGTGTCCGGTGGGCTCCGGCGTGACCTTCCTGCCCTGCTGTGCCCCCAGTGTCGTGGCGCAAGGACGGGGTGCCCCTGCGCAGCTCGGTGGCGCGGCCCATCCGGGCGGAGGGTGAGCGCCACACGCTGCTGGTGCGCGGGGCCCGGGCGGCCGACGCCGGGCTCTACACCGTGGCGGCCGCCAACGAGGTGGGCGAATCCTGCTGCAGCGCCATCCTCACCGTGCGGCCCGGTGAGTGCGGGGGCGGCCGGGCTGGGGGCAGTCTGCCAGCTGGCCGCGGTCCCGAGGCATCCGGCTGCCTTACCCTACAAGGCGCTGCCTGAGCCCGGAGCTGACGTGCGCCGGCCCCGGCTCCGCTTCCTTCCCCGCGGCCCCGATCCCGCTGCAGGGACTGGCCTGGGGACTGGGGGAGGTCCCTGGGGGGTGCAGAAGTCACCAGTGGTGCCCTGAGCTTGGCTGTCCTTTGGGCACTGGTTGGGGGGCTGCTTTGGGACCCCCCAAGCCTCCCCACCCACGTAGGGCTGGCAGTGGTGGGACCCAGCACCTGGGTGGGGAGGGGCTGGGCCAGGCCAGGGGGGCTGTGGGGGTGCACCGCAGCTGGGATGCAGTCGCCTGAGCCGCCTGGTGAGTGCCCTGGTCCTGGCCTCCCCGAGCCCCTGCTGTGCCCTCCCTGCCCCCGGCTCCTGGCCAGAGTCAAGGTCAGGGTCACAGCTCAGCCCCTTGTCCTTGCTCCCAGGCGAGGGGCTGCGGGGCTGGGCGGGGGGGCGT